GGTGGATGGCTGGGCTGGTGCTGGGTGGATGGCTGAGCTGGGAGGTGGGTGGATGGCTGAGCTGGGACTGGGTGGATGGCTGAGTGGGGAGGGGGCGGTGGAAGGCAGGAAGGATGTTCAGGGAGATTGTAGTGCCTTCGGGTGGGGTGGGGGAAAGCTGGAGGACAGTGGAGAGAGGACAGGAAACTGCATAAGGGTTCCATGAATGGCTCTCTCTCCCAGAAACTGCAGGTCCATGACAGACCCCAAGGAGGAGGGCCCGCCCACGGCCTGGTGGAGAGGGGCTGCCAGGGGGCAACAAAAGGTGACGTGGAGGCTGGGTGGAAGGGCTGAGTCTTCAGGAAAAGCCTTGATGTGCCTCACAGGTGTGCTGTGGGTTTTCATCGGGTGAGTGCTTTTGGGAGCCCTTGCCTGGCTGCAGTGCAGAAGACTGAGCAATGAGAGGGGGAGGAGGCAGGGGGTGAGGGCTGGGGCAAGGACAGAAGTGGGAGCTGGTTGTGGGCATCTGAAGCTGGTGGGGCTGTGTGGGCCCAGGTCAGCTCACAAACATCTTCCCTGCTGCCAGACCGCTGTCTCCCCACATTACAGGGGTGGGCCTGCTCCTTGCTGCTGGGGACAATGGACAGGCTCCTGTAGGAGGAGTTTACACCCTATTGATAATGGTTCCTATGGAGACCCAGGGAACAGGTCAAAGTTAAGCTGCCCTCCTAAATCTAGGATCCGCCCATCTTGTCACATGTATATCCCCAATCCCTCCTCTTCCTATTGGGTGTATGTCCCTAGACCACCTCCTCTCATTGCTGTATAACCTATAGTGTAAACCCTTCCTGTGACATATGTCTTTACCTGGAATTAGGGGCTTGCACACCCCCAAAGGTATATAGGCGTGGGTCAGCAATAGAGATCTCTCTCTTGCTGGGTTCTTGCTGGCCGCTCCCCTGTCTTCCCCCTCTCCTCTCCCTTCGTCTCTCCCTTGTTCTCTTTCCCGTCCTTCCCTTCCCCCTCTCTCCACGTGACCACCAAGCTGGGCTGAGGTGAGCAATGCTACCATGTAATGTGTCTGAATGCATTATTGTAACGCCTCTTCTATCGCTCATGCTCTCAGTGACTTTAATGTGATACTTATATACCTCAACCGTACAATTGTGCATTACTGAACCCGTGGGTAGTAGCGGTGGGGGCTGGCCCCCCACCCCTCAGTAACTTTATACTACAGGGCTGTGAGATAGGGCAAGGGCTCAAGTCTGGGCTGGGAGGTGTGGGCATGTACCCAGAAGGACAGGCCAGCTCCTGAGTCTGGGGGAGGGGCAGGACACCCTGAGCCCCAGGCAAGGAGGGTGCTGCACTGGGATCCCCTGGTGGCCAGGGGTGGTAACCCCCATCCTGGGGATCTGAGCAGCACCAGGGTTCAGGGAGCCCCCTCCAAGCAACGGGGTTCTTCCTGGTCATGACATCATCACATCACACTTGGCTAAACAGTTTTTCTGAGGTGTAGCTGGAGGGCATTTGAGGCCCACCAGCTCCCGCCCCTGGCAGAAAGGCCCCTGAGGACCATGCCATGCTGCTCTGCCCCTGCCTCCCCCTCAGTGTGAAGTCCTCCCCCCAAACTGCCCAAGGAGGTAAGCTTAACAGAGTGGGAGAGACCCAGTCTCCCTGGACAAAGCTCAGACCAGGGTTACCCAACAGCTCCAGTCCCAAGGCCACATCCAACTCTGGGGCCCAGTTTTCCCAAATATGCAAAAGAAGCCTTCTAAGGGGCAGGGACAGTGACTTTATTTGCTGGCACACAGATCACTTATATGGGCCAAGATTGAAAGAGGGGCAAGAAATGAGATCCAGGGGTAGAAGACGTCCACCCAAGGACTTGCAGACCCCGCACAGCCAGTTGGAGGGTGGTGGGACTCTGGGGCAGACTATTAGGAGAAAGCCAGGCTGTGTTGGGGGTGAAGAGGGGTTGGTGTCCACTCAGCAGCAGGGGTCCTTGCAGGTCGAGGTGCCACAGCAGGCCGGGCGAGGGCATGCAGGGCGGCAGAGCAGGGACATGGAGGAGGAGGCAGGGGCACAGCAGGCGGGCTTGCACACAGGTTGGCAGATGAGGGACATGCAGGAGGAGGGTTTGCAGCAGGAGGGGGCACAGGGAGAGGGCTGGCAGCATGAGGAGGAGGAGCAGGGGCCAACCCCACAGCAGACGGGCATACAGCAGGGAGCAGGTGTGCAGCAGACGGGCTTGCAGCAGACAGGTGTGCAGCAGATGGGTGTACAGCAGACTGGCTTGCAGCAGACAGGTGTGCAACAGACAGGCTTGCAGCAGATGGGTGTACAGCATGCAGGCTGGCAGCAGGAGGGCCCACAGGAGCTAGTGCAGCCTGATTGGCAGGGGCTGGACCCACAGCTCACAGGGCTGCAGATGAGGGTCAGGCAGGAGGCTGGGGCACAGCAGGAGGACTGGCAGCAGGAGGGGGCACAGCAGGTGGGGGCACAGCAGGAGGACTGGCAGCAGCTGGGGGCACAGCAGGAGGGCTCGCAGCAGCTCTCGGGGCAGTTGTCCACCTCCCAGGAGGAGCCGGTGCAAGACTCGGTGGAACCAGGCAGGCAGACTCGGCTGCCATAGCTCAGGTCACTGGAGCAGACGGACATGGTAGGTGGGTGGGTAGAGGAGGAGGAGGTGGAGCAGGAGAGGGGTGAGTGAGCGAGTGGATGAGTGAGTGAGTGTGTGAGTGTGTGTGTGAGGAGCTCTGGGTCTCTGGGCTTTTATATCCCTCTGTGTTGTGTGTTGTCCCCACAGAGGGCCCTTCCAAAGCCTCCCTTCCTGGTTGGTGCCAGTGCATCTGTTGGGGCTGTTTCCATGGTGCCAGTTCCTTGTTTTGATGCTGCTGGAGGCCCCTGCGTGGGGGTGGGATCATCCAGGCTGCGTCTGTTGCTGGAGGAATCCAGCAGGAATGCCTCCAGGGAATCAAAGTCCGGGTAAGACAGAGCCTCCTGCACAGCACAGGCCTCTGCTGTTTCCCGCGGGCTTGGCTGGCATGGGTCTCATTCTCTTTCAGGGTGGAGTACAGGGGTGGGAGGTGCTTGTCCAGCCACAGGCACCTGACCACCTTCCCTTGGCCTTGGGCCAGGCCTGCTCTCGGGTGATGGCGCTGGTTGTCCGAGGAGCTGGAGGGCCCTGTCTGCCAGGAGAGCTCCGGGCAGGAGCGGAGGAACCGTATCCTCCTGAGGGCAGAGGTCTGGGAGGATGTGAGCAGGGATGCCGGGCCTATAACCTAGGGAGGCTGCTGAGTGCAAACGCCACTTGCTGCCTTGCCTTGTGGGCTGAAACTGTTTATAGAGACAGCACGCAGCAAAGCATACCTCTTCTGTTCTCGCAGCTCAGGCAACACCTGCGATGGCCCCCGTGTGCCCCTCAGAGCACAGTCCCCTCTCTCAGTGCCCTGCCCTTCTTGCCCACCAGCTGGAACAGTATCAGGAGGTGGCGACCCTGCACCCAGCCCTCTGGGTCTGCATCTAGAGCTGTTGCCATCAATGCACAAGTCACCGCAGGTCTGACTCTGCACGGGGCTCTGTGAAAGGCCCCTTGTGCCTTATCCCCTGAACACCTGCATAAAACAACAAATCTCACTGCCATCGGGTCCTTTCCGATTTATGGTGACCCTACAGGACAAGGCAGAACGTCCCCCTGTGGGTTTCTGAGACTGTAACTTTTTACAGGAATAGAAAGCCTCATCTTTCTCCCGAGGGGCAGCTGGTGGGTTTGCACTGCTGACCTCGTGGATCATAGCCTGTGGTAGTTACATAATCTGTGTCAATTTGAGAGGATTAAGAGTGAAGGGGTGGAGCTTAGCCTGTCAACCAGGTCGCAGCTTGATGACCTCATTTAGAGGTGCTGAGGAGATAAATAGCTCACTGGAGGCCAGACGCAAACTCAGTCCCTGGGAGACATTGCAGCTGACAAGACACGTGGAGCTACACTAGAGTCCTGAGCTGGAGGAGCCGCTTGGAGGCCTATGCCAGTGCTGAGATGCCTCCACTGCCACTGAATCCACAAGACTTTCCACCCACTGGCCTGCGATCGACCTTAATTCGGCATCATTGCATGGGTTTCATGAGTCTGAAGAGGACTTTATAGATTGGTATTGGATAGAAGGGCTACTATCAGACTTATGGACTTGATCTGGACTGGGTTGGGATGTTTTCTTAATGTACAATCACTCTTTATATAAAGCTCTTTCTTATATACATATGAGCGTCTCTGGATTTGTTTCTCTGGTCTACCTGGACTAACATACAGTTCAGTGCCACCAGGGTTCCTGGATAAAATGACGCTTACTTTGTGTTGGTACGACACCACCATCAGGGCCCAGCACCCGGTCATGGGTCCCTCATCCTTTGCAGCTGGTATTCTCAGCTGGGGCTGCACCCTCCAGCGGTGGACTCTGTAAGTCAGCCCAGGGCTCCCTGAGGGTGGGTCTGGGGTGAGGGTTGCAGCCTCACTCTGCTCTGGTGAGGCGGGACTGGGTACACAACAGAGGCAACCTCATCTCTGTAACCTCATCTCTCTGGTGGGAGAAGAGCCAGGCTGCGGAGCTGTCCCACAGGAACTGGGCAAGCCCTCAGGTTCCCAAGCCGACCATGGTGTCCACCTGGCAGCAGAGAGTGAGGACATTTCAGTCATCCCATGTCGAGTCTTTCGCCACCCTGTGTCACCCACCCCCTAGCCTGGGCACTCCCCCCAGTCCTCTGGGTGCATACAAATAGTCTGAGATTCGTCCTTTCTATTAGCCCACCCACCTCGGCCAAGATCCTGCCATCTCCATCACCTCTGTCTCCCATGAGCACCCTCTCTGCAGCCCCCAGGGCCACTCTCTCTCTCCAGCTGTGGGCATAATAACCCCCAAGGCAGGTGCTCAGCCGCATCCACCTTGAATTCCCCTGCCAGTATGCAGGGTACTCAGCACTGGTGTGCCAAGTGCACAAAGCTCAGACGAAGGGAGATTTTTCTGTGCACCCCCAGAAAGTCCATCTGTGGCAGTGAGGCTCTGGAAAATGAGGGACCTGTAGGAGGAGGGTTTGCAGCAGGAGGGGCACAGGGAGAGGGCTGGCAGTATGAGGAGGATGAGCGGGGGCCAGCCCCACAGCAGATGAGCACAAAGCAGGGAGCAGGTGTGCATCAGACAGGCATAGAGCAGGGAGCAGGTGTGCATCAGACGGGCGTAGAGCAGGGAGCAGGTGTGCATCAGACGGGCGTAGAGCAGGGAGCAGGTGTGCAGCAGACGGGCGTAGAGCAGGGAGCAGGTGTGCAGCAGACGGGCATAGAGCAGACACAGCTACGGCTGTGGGGCTCAGGCTGCTGTCCTCAGAACTGGTTCAGGGACAGGTAACAGAGTGGCCAGTCCTTGGGTCTGAGTATAACCTTGTAAATGTGGTGAGCGTCCAGGGTCAAGTTTCTCATTCTAGAATCACGAGAAAAGGCATCCCTGGGTCTTTGGCTCTGAGTCACTATGTGAGAATCATAGAATTTGGTGCTTCAAGAAAAAAAAAATCTGAAGTCCCAAGTAGGAAAAAGAATAAAGCGTATGGGGGAGCCACTCTGAGCGATTGTACAAACACTCAAAAATGCCCACATCGCAGTGTTCAGGAGGGAACCGTTGCTGTTTGAGGCTGGGAGTGGGGCCTGACCCATCACCGCCACACGCACAACAGAGCAAAGCACTGTCTGGGTCTTGGCCACCTCGCTGCCCTTCCTGTGTCTGACCCCGTGGTGGCAGCCACGGTGTCCATGCATCTGAACGAGGTCATCGTCGTCTTCCCCACTGACCCTCTACTTTACGGAACACTGATGGCCTTCTCCTGATGCTGGGTTCTCCTGATAAAATGTCCAAAGTCGGAAGGCTCGCCACCCTCACTTCTAAGAAGCATTCTGCATGCACTTCTTCACAAGACAGATTTGTTCACGGGAAAGAGTAGGAGATAGGCATCAGATTCGAGACACTGTGTGAGACAAATCAACCGCCAAAATAACTGGAAACTGACTGCATACGATTGAAGACAAAGTTAGCGGGTGTGTGTGTGTGTGTGTGTGTGGTGTCTCTCAATGGAAACACTAGATGACGGAGACAGAGTTTGGAGTGATGCAGCCGCAGTCATCCCTGGAAGCACCAGACGCTGAAAGGACAGTCATAGATCCTCCCCAAAGCATGCACTTGACCAACACCTTGAATGGCGTAGTGGTTACACATTGGGCCTCTAAGAGCAAGATCAGCAGTTTGAAACCACTAGCCACTCCTTGGGAGAAAGATGAGGCTTTCTACTCCTCTAAAGAGTTACAGTCTTGGAACTCCACAGGGGCAGTTCCACCCTGTCCTGTAGGGTTATTGACTCTGGGCAGTGAGGGGTTCTGTTTGTTTGAGCTTCAGGATTAAGAGAGGATAGACGTTTGTGGAATGGTGTCGTCGCCGCCCTAGAAGCTAACACATATCCTGTGCCCCGTCCTGGGAACCCTGGGGAAGAAGAGGGAACTAGAGATAAATGTCATCGACCTTCACCTTCAAAGAAGCCCTTCACCTTCAAAGGAGCTTCCAGGCTGGTTCAGGGGAGGGGCAGGGGCTATGGGAAATGCCAGCTAGATTTAGGGTTGGCGGGAGTGGCGATCACAGGTAGGCAGTCCCTCAGGAGGACTGTTGTCATTTATCCTTTTAGTGGTTACAGTCTCTGCCAAAGGCTCTCAAGCCCAAACTCGAAGTACTATCCCAACTTTTCATAGTTTGGCACACCAGAAAAAGACATCAGAAGGGACCAGTACAGAGCCTTAGCAGGGGGTCACACCAACCCTTCCTGCTCATTCCCAGGGACAGAGACCTCATTGCCCAGCAAGGCATTTGTTCTGGATTCCAAAGTCATCCTACAAGATCCTGTCCAACATCTCACCACAGCCCCGCCAGCTAGCGAGCCCTCGGCAGGCTCTGGTCCCGGGGACATCCGAGAGGAAGAAGGGGCCGCTCTGACATGGAAGATGGACAACATCACTGACCTTGGGTGGAAGATTGGGAACTTTCAAGGTTACCACGATGGAAAATTCTTCTGGGAAGAGGTCACACCTGATGAAAATCCGTGAAGCAGGGAAGCTCATGGCGTGGGGAGCGGCAGCTGAGAGCTGGAAGCCTCGGGCGCCCTGTGTCTGCATCACCCTGACCCCACTCTGGGCTCCACCAGGGGGGACTGCTTCTGCCAGGACGTCCAGAGGGCGCAGATCTGTGTTGGAGAAATGACAGATGAGTCAGGCCCATTCGCCAGCGCAGACATCTTCCTTGGGCTGTGATTAAGTCACACCTGTCTCAGCGCCGCACCTGTTCCTACACCACCGCTCCTGTGAGCCAGGTGTGGAAATGATCCCCGATTTACAAGAGGGAGCCGGACACCAAGGGTTAAAGATGCTTCGGCTCCCAGATCTCTGTGCCTGGCTCCCATGTCAACCAGACACACAGGCACAACCTACCGATTCTGTCCTCTAACAATGCGGGCAACGGAGGAAGGGGATGCTTCATGTGGAAGAAACGCTCACAGACAGGAGACCTCCAGGGGATGGCCCAGGGCCCAGACAGACAGGTGTCCCTCTCTTCCAGGTCCCCAGGTGCTCACACACCTGCTGTCCTCTCTCTGTATCAGGTGGCTCTTGGAACAAGCCTTGAGTGAGGCATCAACAAAGACCTGCAAGGGCCCTCAGGTTGGGGGGAGCCTTCTCCTTCTCCCTCCTCCCACACATGCATGAAAGAAATGGGGTTTGAGGCCCAGTCCAGGGTGGCTCTCTCGGTCCCATTGTTGAAGGGCGGTGCTGGGAGAGCCCAGTCCAGGAATCATGCTGGGCCCTCCCACCTGACCAGCACATAGCCCATGTGAACTGAAATAGCCATGCCCAGAGGGGGCTCCCTCTAGCCCAGGGGTCTGGCTACAAGGCCTCCTGCCTGGGTCCGGCACGGGCGTGTGTCTGGGAGACATGTACGCCAGGGTGGGAACACACAGAGAAAATGAAGCACCCACCACCTCTGGAGAAAGCTCAAGAATATAACTGGTAATATTTTTATTTACAAAGAAAGCCAATTATTTGTGCATTTCCAATGGAAAAGTCGATAGTGAAGAGCCTATCATTTCTTGGAAAGAGCTTGCACCATAAGACAGTGCACTGTCTGCAGCACGTAACAGAGTCTTTAGAAGGATAGGTATCATCTAACGGAGCAGGCATCAGCCTAAGGAAGGGAGGGAGGGCGCTCCGACTGGCCCTAGGCATGACACTTGCGTCTTGGGGGTGGGGGGAGGTCTGGGCCTTGGAAACCTGACCCTGGTTCACCTGTACTGGCCAAGGACACAGGATGGGTCTCCTGGGCAGTTCTGCTGGAGAGAGATCTTTGGGGGGAAGTGCATCCTAAAAGGCTCTCTCCCCAAATCTTGGAGAGACACTTGGTGCACGGAACCCTGCCCGGGTGAGTTCCACTTCTGGTTGGGCTGTGGTACCACCAGGTGCAGCCCCAGCCTCAGGGAATGCACGGCCACCCATGAGGCACCACCCAACTTCAGAACATGCCTCTGGCCTGAACCATGGCCTAGCAATTAAACCCAATTAATAAGAAGGGTGTCACCAGCTCTGATGTTCTCCAGGGCTCTGCTGGGGGCAATAGGAACCAAGGCTAGGCTAATCCTCAAGGGAGCCGCTCCTTCCATTGTTAAGTTTAAATCTCTTCTTCCTGGGCCTGCCCCTAGACCCAGCTCCACTTTGTCCATACAAGGGAGCCCTGCTCTGGCAAACCCTCAGGACGGATGTACGGGTTTCTTTTCTTTTTTATGTTGCCGTTACAAATGGGGAGGAAGGTTTCTAAGGTTGGCAGACAGGCACAGGCTTTATAAATTCCTGGAAAATCCCTGTTTGATGAAAAAATGATCACAGGACTGGGTTTATGAAAGTCATTCAGATACGTGTAAGTTATCAATTCCTGCAAACTAATCCTAAATAACTCAACACGTGCTTATTAACACCTGCTAGTTCCAGCGGGGTCTGAGTAGGCAAACAGAGGGTAGAGGCCCGCAGGTGACACTACAAGGTCAACTCAAGTCTTCTGCAGCAACCGGCCCAGAAAGGCAAACCACAATAGTCAGGACAGGGTCAGCCACTGCCACCTGCCCGAATTCTTGTCCATCCCCTGCTTCTGACTATTGGGGGCTCTTATCACAATCCATCCATCCCTTGTGTCAAGCACATTTGTACATATGTTCCCATCGTGCTTTTCAAAACACTGTCTTCCTACTTGAGCCCGTGGTATCAGCTCCTCATTTTTTTCACTCCCTCCCCCACCCTCACAAACCCTTGACAAATTAAAAATTATTATTATATCTATAACTCATATCACCACGGTCTCCCTCTACCCCTGCTTCTGTTGTTCATCACCCTGTGGGGGGTTAAATGTCGACCATTATGATCGGTTCTCCCTCTCTCCCCTTATCTTCCCTCTACCCTCATGGTATTGCTACTCCCGTTATTGTTGCTGAGTTTAACTGACCTGGATTCCGTGTGTTGAGAGCTCTTTTTTTTTTTTAATCGTTTTATTAGGGGCTCATACAACTCTTATCACAATCCATACACACATTAATTGTGTAAAGCACGTTTGTACATTCATTGCCCTCATCATTTTCAAAACATTTCCTCTCCACTTATCTGTACCAGTGTGCATGCTCTGGTCTAGCTGGATTTGTAAGGTAGAACTAGGGTCATGGTAGTGTAAGAAGAAAGCATTAAAGAACTAGAGGAAATTTGTATGTTTCTTTTTTTATCATCACTATAATTTGTTTGTTTTTTTAATCATTTTATTGGGGGCTCTTGCAGCTCTTATTCCAATCCATCCATTGTGTCAAGTACATTTGTTGCCACCATCATTTTCAAAACATCTTCTTTCTGCTTGAGCCCTTGGCAGCAGCTCATTTCACCCCTCCCCCACTTTCCCTCCCTCATGAACCCTTAATAATTTATAAAAAAATTTTTCATGTCTTACACCAACCGCTGTCTCCCTTCACCCACTTTTCTGTTTTTTTTGTCCCCCTGGGAAGGGGTTATATGCTGATCATTGTGATCGGTTCCCCCTTTTTCCCTCACCTTCCCCTTACCCTCCTGGTATCTCTACTCTCATTATTGGTCCTGGGGGGTTTATCGGTCCTGATTCCCTGTGTTTCTAGCTCTTATCTGTACCAGTGTACATCCTCTGGTCTAGCCAGATTTGTTAAGTAGAATTGGGGTCATGAAGTGGGGAGGAGGAAGCATTAAGGAACTAGAGGAAAGTTGTATGTTTCTTTTTTTAAAAATCATTTTATTGGGGGCTCATACAACTCTTATGGAAAGTTGTATGTTTCATTGGTGCTATATATACTGCACCATGACTGGCTCGTCTCTTCCTTGTGACCCTTCTGTAAGGGGATGTACAATTATCTATGGATGGGCTTTGGGTCTCCTCTCTACCCTCCCCCTCATTCATATTGACATAGTTTTTTGTTCGGGGTCTTTGGTGCCTGATACCTGATCCCATTGACACCTCATGATCACACAGGCTGGTGTGCTTCTTCTTCTTGTGGGCTTTGTTGCTTCTCAGCTAAATGGCCACTTATTTATCTTCATGTCTTTAAGAATCCAGATGCTATATCTTTTGATAGCCGGGCACCATCAACTATCTTCGCCACATTTTATTATGCACCCATACAGTCTTCAGTGATCATGTTGCGAAGGCGAGCATCACAGAATGCTGGGTTACTAGAACAAAGTGTTCTTGCACTGAGGGAGTACTTGAGCAGAGGCCCAATGTCCATCTGCTACCTTAATATTTAACATATATGTACATAGATCTATGTCCCTATCGTTACATATAAATATATATACATATGTATGTACCTATATTTATACCTCTATAAATACCCTTTGCCTCCTAGTTCTTGCCTCTATTCTTACTTTCCTCTTCTCCACTATCATGTTCCACATTCAGTCGGCTCTCAGTAATTCCTCTCGGCTACATTGCACTTGGTGAAGCCCCACTAGGCATTCTACGCCTTCCTCGCCATCTTTTTTTTTTTTTTTGGATCACTTGTTGTTCTTGGGTTTATTGGCTCCCTCCTTCCTTTCCCACCTCCCCCTCTCTCATGTCCCCATGCAACCATCGGTCCCATTGTTTTCTTCTTGGTATTGTTTATCCTGCCCATCTTATAAACATGAAAAAGCAAAAACAAAACAAAGAAAAGAAAAAACCTATAAACAGTTCCAGGTCTGTCTTTTGACCCTTCTGTATGGAGTTTGATGAGGTGCTAAGCCCTGCCCTCCAAGTACAAAGTCTATTTTGGGGACTCCTTGGGGACTTCGTGCTCTGCTCCCCTTGCTGTTCTGTTGCGCTCCCGTAGTGTTTCACCCTGGTGTGGAGGGTCAGACGGGTCACAACTGTGTCTCCAGTGTTGTCCCCCATCGCACGATGGGTCAGTGAGGGATGACGTGTCTCGCTCGTGGTGGAGCTCGCCCTATGGTCCTTTCTGTGCACTGGCTGATCCTAACAGAAATATCATCCTCGGGACTTGGTGGGCCAGGATGTGGCCCATTCTCTCCTTCCCTCTTCCTGAGCCGTAGCTTCAATATTGTCCTCTGTCGTGCATTCTTCTTGGGAGCGGGTCCACATAGCTGGGATTGGGGCCAGCCCTGCAGACTTCTCTAGCACGCTGATCACACAAGACCACCCAGCTTCCCCATGCCAGCACCCCATCAGGAAACATCAGCACCTCCCACGTCCTCACTATAAAGCTGTCCTGCTTCCTGGCCACCTGTGAGTCTCTGCCAAAATCAGGTGACCGTGACCAATTCCTGTGCTGTAGCAGCTCTATATGACTAGTCTTGGTTCATTTTCGTGTGTGTGTGTGTGTGTGAGAGAGAGAGAGATTGGGGGGGGGGAGCGTCTGCACCTATTCCACAGAGTGTTCTTGAAGCTGTAGGTTCAGGAAGCGTCAGGGAGGATGGGATAGGAGCAGGACAGATGAACCCAAAACCAGGTCACATGTACAGCCCCGTTCACTTCAGAGTCTAACTTCTTTGATATTTACTTTAAAATGTAACGAGAGTCAACAACAACGATAAAAAGACAGACGCGTCGACTACAAAATGGGCAAAGGACACAAGCAGAAGCTTCACCAAAGAGGACTCTTAAGCAGCCAACAAA